CATATTCAAATCTTTTATGTTCCTTGAATTTTACAAATATGCCATTTTCAACTAGCTTTGACCGAAGCCAACCTCGTTTTTTTTTTTCTAATATCAACCGCACATTTTAAGGCTACTTTTTAAACTCTCGAAATACAAAATTGTTAAAAAAAAAATTCTTCGAATCAAACCAGCCAAGCCCTCGGCTTTGTAAGGTTTTTTTCTATAAACATGTTAAAATTTTGTAAAACATTTAATAAGTAATTTTTGAGTTTAAAATTTTTTTTTAAGACCGTTTTTGAGTTTTTTTTGAGTTTTAAAGTTTTTCCAAATTTTTTGAGTTTTCCGAGTTTTTTAAATTTGTTTAGCTTTATTTTCTAAAGCCAACCACAACACATTTTTAGGCTCTTGAAATATTATAAAACATTTAATAAAAATAAGCAATTTTAAAAAAATACAGGGATCTTTGTTAGCTTTAAACAAAGCCATCAGAGCACATCGGTTTCCTTTAAGATTTTTTGAGTTTATTTTTTTATTTTAAAGTTTTTAAGTTTCGAGTTTTTGAAATTTGTTTAGCTTTTTTTTCTGAAACCAACCACATCACTTTTTATTCTATTTTTAAGATTTGGGAAATATAGTTATTCAAAAAAATGCTATTTTTGAAAGTATACGCATAGCACCTCAGCTTTATAAAGTTTTTTTCTATAAACACCCACACCACATTTTTAAGCTCTTGAATTATTATAAAACATTTCATAAATAAATATAGTTTAAAAAACTAAAAAACACGCTTTTAGAGCATATCAAACTAAAAAGTTAAAAATAATTTTTCAAATAAGCTTAAAACAATAATAAATGGAAAATACTAATATTATTGTGAAAAAACCGTCGGGCTTTCGATGTACGATAAATATGGACAAAGCACCTCATGCTTTTTTCACAATAATACTAGTATTTTCCATTTAATATTGTTTTAAGCTTATTTGAAAAATTATTTTTAACTTTTTAGTTTGATATGCTCTAAAAGCGTGTTTTTTTGTTTTTTTAAACTATTGTTATGTGAGCCATTTCATTATTCAGTCATGCTCTAACCCTACAAATCCCTATCTGTCTTATTTGGCCTTTGAGGCTCAACTTGTCCGATTATTATACATAATTAAACCCCTTAAGACCAAACCTATGTGACGACTATGGCGGAGGTGCTTTCGAGACTTTTCGAGGTAAAACGTGATGTTTCTAATTTTTGGCGAAGAATATTCTACAACATTCGCCATAATTTTAAATTTGTATATAAATATTGGTGGAGGTGAACGCTGTATCAGTTATTATATGGACAGTGAAGATAAATCGTGAACAGTTTAGAGACATTCGAAATATATATAAATTAGAATAGTAGTGTTGTAAAATAAATAAGTGTTTAAATAAATTATTAATTAATAAACTGTTGTTTAAAATAAACAAACATCACACTATATTTATTTTTCACTTTTAGGTCGATGTATTATAAAAGCGTGTTTTTTAGTTTTTTTAAACTATATTTATTTTTTACTTTTTAGTTCGAATAATTATTAAAAAAAAATTGTAAATTGAAATTGCTGAAAAAAAAAACAATTATTTTTTTTCAGCCGTGGACGGGATTAGAACCCACGGCCAACAAACGAACTTGAGGTAGTGGGATATACTGACAGTAATAAGCCACTTGCTTTTAGTCCAAAGGAGAGTTACAAACAAACAAACATACATACATACATACATACATACATACATACATACATACATACATACATACATACATACATACATACATACATACATACATACATACATACATACATACATACATACATACATACATACATACATACATACATACATACTGATATAGAAACCCCCTGTATATCAATTAAATAAATTTGCCCAGACTCTTAAAAGGGGTGGTTCGGTTCTAAAAATTTACAAATGGTAAAATATTTGCCAAATTTAATAAATAAAAAAATTAAATTTTAAATTCTTCAGTCTTCTCTTATCTCCTTGTCTCCACTGTCTATATTGCCTTTACCTGTCCGCTTGTCTATCTACTCGATTCTATCTCTCTGTTGGTCTGTACTTCTGCTAATCTCTACCTGTGTGCGTGTGATCGTGTCTCCCTGTCTCTGCTTCTATCTGTAACTGCTGCTACCAGTCCAGGCTCTGCTACTCCCTGTCTGTCAGTGCTTTTACCTGTCTTTGCTTATTTCTAATTAAAATTCCTCTGTACCTTTTTATTTTATTTTCTTTATTTCAACTTCTATTGTAACATCAAGCTTCTATAATAATAATAATCTATCTTTGTATTAATTTTTCTCTGGCGTTTTTCAAATTCCCCCCTGACAATCTCTGACAATCTAATTTTTTTTTCAATCAACAAAAACCCCGACATTTTGATTTTTCACTTAAATTTTACTTTCCAGACACTTCACTACCCCAGTATTGTTCAATTTAGATATTAATTTTGATGACGTCAGGAATTTCTATATCAATACATACATACATACATACATACATACATACATACATACATACATACATACATACGTACTTACATTCATACATACATACAGGTGAAGCTAATAAAAACGTGTTGAAATAAGCAATTTTGAAAAAATACAGGGACCTTTGTTAGCTTTAAACAAAGCCAGCACAGCACATCGATTTTCTTTAAATTTTTTAAATTACTTTAAAATTTTCCAAGGTTTTAAGCTTTTTTCGATTTCTAAGTTTTTTTTTTAGTTTTTTAAGTTGCTTTTTAGGTTGTTTTATGTTTTTTAAAAGTTTTCTACTCTTTTCTAAGTTTGTTTAATTTTTTTTTAAATCAACCACACCACATATTTAGGTTCTTGAAATATTATCAAAGCTTCTTTTATTTAAAAAATAAAGCAAATAAAGCAATAAAAACTACATTTATATTGTCAATATTGGAACGAAATATCTTTAGAAATATCGCTGGTAATTTAATAAACATGCCTAAGAAGCCAGCAGAGAGAGCACCTCGAGGATTTTAAGTTGAAATCTATGTCATATTTCTAGGCAATTTTACACTATATTAAAACGTTTTGTGCTACTTGCATTTTACAAATATCAACCTCGGTTTTTTAATAACTACGCAACATTTTCAAGGTATTTTTAGGCTCTTCAAATAATATAAAACTTTTCGAAATAATTTGCTTTTTTTAAAAATGGGTATTTGCTAGCTTCGAGTAAAGCACATTGGTTTTTTTAATGTTTTTTCAAGTTTCTTTAAATTTTTTAACGATTTTTTAAAATTTTACAAGTTTTTTAAAGTGTTTTTTAAGTTTTTTCAAGTTTTTTTCAAGTTTTTTCCAAGTTTTTTAAGTTTTTTCAAGTTTTTCCAAGTTTTACAAGTTTTTACAGAAGTTTTCAAGTTTATCTAGCTATTTTTCAAAAACAACCACACTACATTTTAGGTTACTTTAATATTATCAAAGCTCTCTGTATTTTTAAATACATATTTTTGAAACATTTTATAATATTGAGAGAAATATAAAAAAATAACATTTACTTTGTCAGTATTTGAACGAAATATCTTTAGTAATATCGTTGGTAATTTTTGCCATATTTATTGGCTATTTTTAAGCAATTTTTATATCATATTAAAACATTTTGTACTCCTTTCATTTTACAAATATCAAACGTACGTCAATATTGATATTTGTAAAATGGAAGAAGCAAACATTTTGAAAAAGTGAATAAAACATAAAAATATCCTAAAAAGATGACAGGTTTCAACTCAAAATTCCCTAGATTTTATATAACTCAAAATTTTGTAATTAATTGGGGCAAAATCGGAAGAACTGGTTGGCGACTCAATTTAGCACGTCTGCGCCAATCCATCTTTTGGGGAAAAATTATGGTCTTTTCTATAAACTTGATTAGTGTTAACATCAAAGCAGCCAACTTACGTAAGTGGGTTTTTTTTAATATTAGACGATTGTAAAAAAAACTTCGTTGGGCAAGTTTTCTGTCAAATAGTTTTCTGTCCAATTCGCGTAAAAATTTTGTTTATCCCAAATTCGACAGCCAGCTTTAATATGGGAAATTTTAAGTTTTTTAAAAAAAGCAAAGGTGAATGCTCTACAACATTTTTTTCAATCGTAATATTAAAAAAATCCCATATGAATGCAACTTTATGGAACACACTGTATATCTACCGCAAAATATAATACAGACAGATTGCAAACAAAATATTCCTAATTTATTTGTTTTTCTAAATTCAGTAAGTTGAAAATTGCTACTGTTTGTTAACAACTATTCTAGACCCGAGAAAAAAAAGTTGCTGATTAGCACGAATCCGCAATTATGCATAATAAATTTTGGAAAAAAAAACTCTGAAGGAAAAACATAATTATAATATTAGTATACTTATCTGCTACGTTCTTCTCTTATGACTATTATTATTTATAAAAAAAAATGTTTATATAATAATAATTGGATGGTTTCTTCAACGTTGGGATAACCTAAAAGTTGTTATAATTGAAAAATTATTGTTAATTATGATGTGTTTTATTGACCTTTTTCGTATACGAATTATTTGTGTTAGAACAAAGCAATTGCTTAGGATTCTTGTAATTTTTTATTCGGAGTTTGATAATATTAAAATACCATGCCTTATCACTTATCATTACGGTCTAAGATGTTTTTACATGTAAATCTTATATTTTTTAATAATAATAACGGATCTTTATTTGCACAAAAGAGTAAACTTTTTGTACAATTAACATGGGCGTGGTTTAACCCGTGGCTATTCTGATCTTGACAGGATAAATGAGAATCGTGGCAGACAGGTGTAGCTGTGCCTCAGGGTTTTAAGACATTTATTTATTTATCATACGAATAAGTTCTGTTGTTCTGTTGTTTATTGAAAACCGTCATTCTCATTTGAAACGGAGTTAATCAAGATTAATGTTACAACAAGCTTAATGATCAATTAAAGTTTAATTCATTGTTTTTCTTTCTTGTTTCAGAACTATACTGGACATTTTCGAAGACTGTTTTAATGTAAGTATTGATTTTTTAGCTTCGTTTAGAAAGTACATCGAATATAGAGACGTTATTTTTCTCTTGAAAATAGTTTCTAAAAATAAACACAATATTACAACTATTTATAATACAGGGCGAGGCACCGAAAACGAAACAGATCGCATATCTTAAAGACACATTTTTTTGGAGGGGACATCTTTCGATCATATCCTCAGCTATCCTACATCTCTCCCCACCCCTCTATCACTATTACCAATGATATTGAAATAGGGAAAGTACTAAGTGTGACACATCATTGAAAAGGTAATTTTATTAGGAATTTGACTGTGTGACATGTGACAGTTCAAATAAGCGTATTGTCATGTGAAAGCCAAATTTAAAAATTTAATGCATAATTACCTTTGGAATAAAATTGAACTTACTACGCCTAAGTTTTCGTAAAATAAATAAAGGTTTTTATTTCCATAACTACCAGGTCTGTTTTTTAGTTTAGCGTCATTGATACTTCAAGTCTATTAGCGAGTGAAACATAAAAATGGTTTATTCTATTCAGGAGAGAGTAGAACTTGTTGAATGTTATTTAAAAAATAACGAATGTGCTAACACTGCCTGTACAATTTTCAATGAGCGACACCCAAACAAACAGGTTAAACGTAAGTACGTTTTGGAACTTATTTCAAAATTTCGACAAACAGGATTTGTTCAAAATAAAAAACGGCGGATTCAAAATCCAGTAAGAAAGGAAGCCGTAGAGGTAGCCGTTTTAGGATAAGTTGTTGCAGATCCAACTTTTAGTATAAGAAAGCTTGCAGAATTATCTGGAGTAGGTGACCGTACCGTCAGGAGAATTTTGAAAGCCAACAGATTCCATCCCTATGAAATTCATTTAGTTCAGGAACTTAACGAAGACGATTTTGATCTCCGCTTGCAATTTTGTGAAATCATGGCGATCATGCTATACAAGATCCACATTTTCTTTATAACATTTGTTTTTCAGATGAATGCAGTTTTTATGTTAACGGGACTGTCAATCGACATAATCCACTGTTAACAAACATAATAGACAACGATAACCGATACCTTGAAGATCACCTAATATTTCAACAGGACGGGGCTCCTCCACATTTTGCTGCAGCGGTTCGTCAGTACTTAAATGAAAACTTCTCCTAGACATTGGATTGGACGAAGAGGATTTATTGAATGGCCCCCACGATCTCCTGATCTGTCCCCCTTAGATTACTTTTTATGGGGATATCTGAAAAGTAAAATATACGCCACTGAGCCAGGTTCCTTAGAAGAGTTACGTGAACGTATTAATACAGAATGTCGTCAAATAACTCCAGAAATGCTCCAAAACGTCAGACAAAGATTTGAGAATAATTTATATTCGTGTATGGAAGTTAATGGACAAAACTTTGAGCATTTACTTTGAAGTAATTTAGTTTTTAATTATGGGAGTTATCCTAAATTTTTCAATTTAATTTTTATGTTCACTTTTCTATTATTTTTTTTATTTTTATTATGAATTGTCTATTAAATGAGTTCTACTTTCAAACGAAGTATCATTATTTAAAATACGGAAACTTTTCCCGCAAGATGGCTCCAAAATCAAAAGTTACGTAATTAACTGTCACACTGTCAAATTCCTTATAAAATTACCTTTTCATTGATGTGTCACACTTAGCACTTTCCCTATTTCAATTTCATTGGTAATAGTGACAGAGGGGTGGGGAGGGATGTAGGATAGTTGAGGATATGATCGAAAGATGTCCCCTTTGAAATAAAAATCGACCTCTTTTTTCGGTGCCTCACCCTGTATATAGTTACGAATAAATGTATAAATGGGGCTATATCTTGCGGTAAATTGAACAAGGTATAATAAGAACATGCACATAACAGAGAAAGATCGCTCATCGCGCAACGCGCATCAATCTTTGTTTGAATTATGTAGTGGGGTGAATAAAGGTGGTGCCGTTGCCCGCTAACAGCATTCTCTGTCTGTTAGGTGCATGTTCCTCTTATATCTTGTTTAATTTATTGCAAAGTATAACCCTCGAGTTGAATTGTGCATATCTGTATTATTAATTATAACCAAAAAGTTAGTATAATTAGCAGCTAAATAAATATATCTAGTAATCTGTATACAAGAGGGTACAAAAATTAAGTTAGCCTTAAAACGTGTCTTAAGTTACAGGACAGTCAGAGAAATTGTGTAAATAAGTCAAGGAAAAAATTAGAAAGCCGGGAAATTTGCCGATTAACATTACATATTTTATCTACATCTATTTGTAAAAAAGACAATTCGCAAATTTCATGTTGATATCGCTTTTCGTTTTTAAATAATGATTTTTTTTTTAGTTTCAACTCCTCTTAAGGAGGTCCTTTCGCCACCCCTTTCGCCACCAATGTTAAAAAAAAAGTTATTAGATTATGACTAAAATTAATTTTTTTCTAATAGTTGAAGTCTTTATTTACCTAATAGTGAACTTTTAACTATATCTTACCTGGCAAATTTTTGAGAAATATTTTTTTAAAAATGTGAGTATTTGTACACTGTCTTACGAGAAAGTAAGACCTGAACAACAATTCTCGAATTATACTATTATTTATTGATTAGATGGAGTAGAAAAAAACTAAAAATAAGGTTTTTGAAATATTTAGGTTTTGTTTTTTACAATAAAATATATAGGTTACCGTGGAATTTATTGAGAAATTAATATTAAAAAAAAATTTCAAGCAACTTAGTTAAACATTTTTTGTGATTTTTTAATATTAATTTCTCAATAAATTCCACGGTAACCTATATATTTTATTGTAAAAAACAAACCCTAAATATTTCAAAAACCTTATTTTTAGTTTTTTTCTACTTCATCTAATCAATAAATAATAGTATACTTAATTATAATTCGAAAATTGTTGTTGAAGTCTTACTTTCTCGTAAGACACTGTACAAATACTCACATTTTTAAAATTCTTTTTTCTCAAAAATTTGCACGGTAAGGTATAGTTAAAAGTTCACTATTAGATAAATAAGGACTTCAACTATTAGAAAAAAATTAATTTTAGTCATAATCTAATATTTTTTATTTAACATTGGTGGCGAAAGGACCTCCTTAAATCTCCCATTTTTAATAAGAGGTTCTTCTCTTATAGATCTTGATTTTTTCCAAAAATTTTTCGTATTTGAGTTAGGATTTTTTTTTATATTTTAAACTCCCCTTTGACCCCTCCAATTCATTCAGACTTTTTTAAGAATTAATGGACTTAATCTTCTTATAGAGCTTGATTTTTTTTTTTTAATTTCAACCTCCCTTATAAAGCTTGATTTTCCTAAAATTTTCAAGTTGACTTCTTTCGAAGCTAGCAGAGCACCTTGATTTTTGCAAAAAACGATGAGCATAAAATTTTTGAATAGGTTATAAAAATAGCCTAAAAATGTGGCATATGTTTCAACTCAAAATTCCCGAGGTGCTTTGTTGCCTATTTTGGCATAAGTAAAAGTCAGAACTCATAAAAAGACTTCTACTTCTAAAAGAAGCGACGATACAAAACATTTTGGTGCAGTTACTGCGATGGTGAAACACATGAGGCAGAATGTCCACGAACGAAAGCAGACGATATAGAGTCACGTTGAAAAGTGGTGACTGAAAAAAATTATGCTTTTGTTGTTTAAAGAAAAACCACCATAAGATGAAATGTAGAAGCAGAATATCCTGTGGTATTGATAATTGTAGAGCCTTACATCACCCGCTTCTCCATAAGTTAAAAGTTGAACCCGAAAATTCTATGTGGAACGAGACCTTACCTCCAGTTGTTAACAGCTATACAGTCAAGCACAGAGCCAATAACATCCTTCTAAGAATAGTACCAGTAAACTTATACGGCCCAGGGGGAAACATGCTTGTTTTGGCACTTTGTGATGAAGCATCGACAGTTACTTTGGTAGACAGTAGAATAGTATCTAAACTAGGATTAGTTGAAGAACCTCAGGAGCTTTATCTACAATGAACAAATAAAGTAATATCTAAAATACAAAATTCACGATGCTTAGACATGAATATATCAAATAGTGAGGCGAATAAGAAGACAATCAAATTAGACAGTTTGAGACATCATGAACATCTTAAACAAATAACTGCAGTAGACATACCCGGAGAACAACTGATGCTGTTGATTGGCCAAGACAACATTCATTTAATAATACCAGAGCAAGTTTTAAGCAGACCGGAAAATGTTCCTATTGCTACAAAATGTAAACTAGGATGGACAATACATGGCCCAGTTGCTGCAAATGATGTAAACTTTACTGCATGCACCTTTCATATTAGTGAACATCAACTAGATGAACTAGTAAAACAAAGCTTTTTACTAGATTCCTTCGGAATCGATACCCGTAAGCAGCAGATGTCACCCGATGAAAAAAGAGCAGTGAACATAATGAAAACAACAGCAAAAAGAACAGGAAGAAGATTTAAGATTCAATTTATGTGGAAGGAAGATAAGCCGAGATTCTCAGAAAGCAAGAGCGTAGCTATTCAAAGACTGCTCTACGTAGAAAGAAAATGTATAAGAGATAAGTAGTTAGCAGAGGAATATTCTCTGTAGAAAAAGAATATGCAAAGAAACTGACACTTGAGGAGGCTACTATTGAAGGTCCAACCTCATTTTCCTGTAATCAATATTACCAAGAACAAATTAAGGCTAGTTTTTGATGCAGCGTCAAAATATTTTGATAAAAGCCTGAACGATCATCTCTTAGCCATAAGAGCTAAAATAATAATACAAGATATTTGGCGTTCAGGTTGTGACTGGGATGAGCCGATTCCGGAAAAATTGGAGGATGTCTGGACAAAGTGGACAAAAGATTTGCAAGAAATAGAAAAACTTGCAGTTTCAAGAAATTTACCGGTACCAAAGAAAATTGAAATGCATGTCTTTTGTGATAGCAGCGAGAAAGCATACGCTGCTGTTTTCTATTTAAGAGTAATTTCCGAACAGAAAATATACATTTATGTACT